GTATTTTTTGTCTCTAAAATGTCTAACCTAGAGCCAAGAGGGGAGGGCTCCTCTTATAGAGCTTTTTGTCTTGTAAAGCTTACAAGACAAGCTTCTAAAGAGAGAGATCCCTCCATACACGTGTATGAAGGGGAACAGAGTGAGACCTCTTTGGTGTTGGGGGTAGTCTACCTCCTTTTGTGCCTTATTTGGCTTTGTTTTGTGCTATCCTTTTAGGCCTTTGAGATCATATTCTCTTGGCCTTTGAACCACTAAATTTTAGAGGAATTTCAGTGGTGGAAACTTGGTTTTGAACTGCCGACCGGCAACAAAGAATGCCGACCGGCAATATAGATTGCCGATGGCAGCAAAACACCAGCCGGTGGCCTCTGGCCATGGCCGGTGATGTGTGGGGATGCCTCACAAGGCATTCCCTGCCCCTCCAGGGCAAAACACAAGTGTTTGGTGCAAAACCAGACACTAAACAGTCGAGTTCGGAGATCCTAAGGCAAGGCGCGTAGCCGAGACCTCCGGGAACTCCAAACGAACACAAACAAGGGTAAGCACCAAGTGTTCCAATGGTGACGTCCAAGTCTTGAGGACGGTCAAAAATGGGGTGTCTACAGTAAGAAAATAGGACCTAAAACTGTGGATACCATTTTCTTAGGATATACTCAAAATAGTAGTGCTAATAGATTTCTAGTAATAAATTCTGAAATTAGTGAAATTACTAATAATACAATAATTGAATCTCGTGAAGCTACATTTTTCGAAGATATTTTTCCATATAAAACTAGGATCTCAAATCAAGTTGTAAATAGAACTTCTACTGCTAGTATTAATGTTATTCCTTTGAGAGGTGATTCTGAACATCTAAATATAGAACCTAGAAGAAGTAAGAGAACTAGAATAGAGAAAACCTTTGGAGATGATTTTTATACTTTTTTAACTGAAGGAGAACCAAATACTTTTATAGAAGCTATGTCATCTTTAGATGCGCCATTTTGGAAGGAAGCCATTAATAGTGAGTTTGAATCTATACTTCAAAATAATACTTGGGAGTTGACTAATCTACCTCCTGGGAGTAAAGCTATCGGTTACAAATGGATATTTAGGAAGAAGTTAAAACCTGATGGGAGTATAGATAAATATAAGGCAAGGTTAGTAGCCAAGGGATTTACACAAAAGAAAGGAATAGATTATTTCGATACCTATTCACCTGTTTCTAGGATCACAACCATTAGAATCTTAATTTCTCTAGCATCCATTTATAATTTAGAAATTCATCAAATGGATGTTAAAATTGCTTTTTTGAATGGAGATTTAGATGAAGAAATTTATATGGACCAACCTGAAGGTTTTGTGGTTAAAGGACAAGAACATAAAGTTTGTAAGTTGGTTAAATCCTTGTATGGATTTAAGCAAGCTCCTAAACAGTGGCATGAAAAGTTTGATAAGATAATTCTAGAATTTGGTTTTAAGATCAATGAACATGATAGATGTGTATACTATAAAAAAGATAATGGAGAATGTATTATTTTGTGTTTATGTGTTGATGATATCTTATTATTTGGAACAAATTTAGAGATAATTAAAAATGTGAAATCTTATTTATCTTCAAAATTTGATATGAAAGATTTAGGAGAAGCTTATATAATTTTGGGTATGAATTAGAGAAAACAACCAAAGGTATTACATTGAATCAATCTAGAATCCTAGAGAAAATGTTAAAAAAGTTTGATTATTATAATCTCAAACTTGTTTCAACTCCTTTTGATCCTAGCATGAATTTGAAGAAAAATAATGGTGTACTTGTATCTCAACTTAAATATTCTCAAATTATTGGATCACTTCTCTATATTGCTAATAAGACTAGACCTGATATTGCCTATGTTGTTGGGAGATTAAGTAGACATACTCATAACCCTAGCAAAGATCATTGGATTGCTGTGGAAAGAATTTTTAAATATTTAAGAGGAACTCTAGATTATTCACTTTGCTTTAGTGGTTTTCCGAATGTGGTAGAAGGTTATAGCGATGCTAATTGGATAACAGATAACTTAGATGTTAAGTCTATCACTGGGTATATATTTATGTTAGGTGGAGCAGCAATATCATGAGGTTCTAAAAAACAAACCGTTATCTCTAGAAGTACAACAGAATCAGAACTTATAGCCTTAGACACTACGTGTATAGAAGCTGAGTGGATTAAAAATTTACTCCTTGATATTTCAATTGTGAAAAATCCTATACCTACTATATAGAGCTGTAATAGAACTTGTGAGACAAGCACATACTAATAAAAAGATGAATAGGCATATGCAAGTGAGGTATAAATCTATAAAAAGTTTGGTGAATAAAAATGTTGTATCTTTGAATTTTGTGAAATCTGAAAAGAATATTGCTGATCAGTTAACAAAAGGTTTATCTAAGAGTGTAGTCTTAGATTTGTCGAGGGAGATGGGTCTAAGCCCATAAGGAGTCAACTAAGGAAGTAACCCAACTTCTGTGATTGGAGATCCCATGAAGGAAGTTCAATGGGTAGGAACAATCCTTATAGTGTGACTCGTATTCCAGCACTTTAAAGAATGAGACTTTATTAAACTTATTAATTATATTCTCCTGCTCATTCCTAAGAAATCAGTGCTGATGTAAATGTGATGGTTAAGGAAGAGTATTTACTCTAAATAAATCCGAGGTGGGCAAACTCTCGCAAGATAGACATCCGTCACTTCTATCTTTGAAGGATTCACCTAAGTGAGAGCGTCATGAATCCGCGACCGTGGAAATAGGGCTATTTCCTAAAACTCTCATGAGAATCAAGATTGAGCACATGGCTGCTAATAGTGCTAACCCGCGCCACAGTTATGTATCATACCATATGTGTGACATGTTGAATTCTGGTAAAAGGGATTTAGTTCAAGACCTAGTTCACTAAGATTCTTTCAGAATGAAACTGTTAACACTAAGTGAGGTTCAAGTTTGAAAAATACCTACACCCATTGTATGGTTTTAAAGTTGCCCATATTATTATTTTTGTATTTATATGACGTTTTACAAAGTTTTGAATCTTGTGGGGGATTGTTGGAAATTTCCTAAAGTTTCAAAACTTTATTTGTATTTATTTGTATTTTATTTGATATTATTTTTATTTGTATTTATTTATTTATTTATTTATTTATTTATTTATTTATTTATTTATTTATTTATTTCTTTTAACATCTTATTTGTTTGAATTTTAAATAAGTATTTGGTTTCAAAACAAAGGGTGTGTCTGTTCCAAACAGACACCGAATAGCCTATTTAAATAGGACTCTTACTCAGAAAAAAGATACAACGTACTCTGTTTCTCTCTATCTCTCTCCTTCTTCTCTTTACAGTATTTTTATATTTCATATTTCTAGGCAATTGACACATTCTTGGCAAATTCTTCTGGTGCAACTGTGCATTGTATCAGATCCTGTAAAGTTTTTGGGTTGTATCTTGGAGTCGTTTGTGATCATTAAAACCTGCACGAAGGGAGCGCATAACGACTTTAGGACAGCGTCTTTGACGTGCCTCTCACAATCACACAGGCTATTTTCTGAACCCTTATCTTCATCTTTTACTTATTCTGTTATATATATATATATATATAGTTTTGTTGAATTGTAAAACCTAATTTTTCAGAATCTGTTTTGCTTTCAATTTTTTTTCTATAAAATTGATTTAAGATAATTATGATTCAATTCCCACAATATTTATCAGATTCAAAAGTTATTCCTTCATCGCGTAACTTTAATAATATTGTTACGTAATTCTCTATTGAACTCACAATTTTATAATATCTACCAACAAAACTAACAAAACCAATTATTATAATTTTTTCCTGCAAGAGAAAAAATTATTACGAGAAAATTAAGAAATTATGTATATATATATATATAGAGAGAGAGAGAGAGAGAGAGAGAGAGAGAGAGCATACCAACTGTGACAATGGTGGATGAGGCAACAGAGGCAGTAATCACATTGGTTCTTCTTCTTCTTGGTGAGTTTTGTTAGGATTTTTTGGAATAGGGGTTTTTTTGGGGTATGGAGGTGTGCATTCAATGAGTAAAATGTTTTCACAAGGATAATTTTGATATTATTTGAAGAGGAAAATAAATTTTAAAGATTTCAAAATTTATAAGTAGGGGCTAAAACAATAAAAGTCCAAAATAATTCATGGTGCTAATAACACCGCTCTATAGAGAAATAGCACCCACATGTTCTCATCTCAATTATTTGAGAAATGGTAGCTTAAAGCTTCCCAACACCTTCCAATTTCAACACAAAAGTCTGTTTTGTATTCTCTAGTGATTGTTTCCAATCCAATCCAAGTTTTCTTTTCAGAATTGTAAGGAAAAGGAAGATCAAAGATGTCTGTCTCTGTTCTCATCTCTGCTGCTCAGGTGATCCTGAATCCCTTGATTCCACTAGCAACTGAATAGATCAAACAGGCGTGGGGTTTCAAGAAAGATCTCGAAACCCTCCGTAGAAGGTTAATAATCATTCAAGCTTTGTTAAGCGATGCTGAGGACTGGAGACTAACATCAGCAATTATGTGTGAGTGGCTGAAGAATCTCAAGCTCGTAACCTGTGATGATGAGAATGTGTTGGATGACTTTGCGTACGAAACTCTTCGAAGAAAGTTGGAGGTGCAAAACCGAATGAGAAATAGGGTACGCAATTTCTTTTCGCTCTCAAATCCATTGGCATTTCATCTCAAGATGGCTCATAAGGTCAAGGATATCAATTCAATGTTAGACTTGATTTGCAAAAAAACAAATGACATCATTCTTAAACCAGCGGATAAGATCTTAAATGCTGCTAATACTAGTGTTGAACCTAGAGAAGTCAATTTCAGGGTGACATACCCCTTTGTAGACAATTCACAAGTTGTTGGAAGGGATAGTGATGTATCAACTATGATATACATGTTAATTGGCTCCTATGAGAGTGGAGATGATTAATCTGTCATTGCCATTGTAAGAATAAGTGGGATGGGCAAGACAACCCTTGCTCAGCTAGTTTACAACAATGAGAAGGTGGTGAAGCATTTTGGTGATCAAAGGATGTGGATTTGTGTTTCTAATGATTTCATAGTTCCAAAGCTATTAAATCAGATGGTACAATCTCTTACTGGGGACAAGTCTGACATAGATAATATTGAAGGAATAGTGAGAAAGCTTGCAGCAAAACTAAATGGAAAAAAGTATTTGCTTGTACTAGACGATGTTTGGAATGAAAATCCAGACAAATGGGAGTGCATGAGAAATTCTTTGGTAGGGATAGGTGGATCCAAGGGAAGTAAAATTATATCTACAACCAGGAGTATGCACGTGGTATCTACCATGAGGACATCTCCATCTCTCACTCATCATTTGAACCAGCTATCAGAAAATGAAAGTTGGACCATGTTTTGGAAAAGAGCATTTGCAAATGGAGGACCAACAGAGACCTCAAACTTGGTGGCTATTGGTAGAAAAATGGTGGAAAAGTGTAAGGGTGTACCATTGGCAATAAAGTCACTAGGAGGTTTAATGTACTCTAGGCAATACAATTACGAATAGGTGTCGATCGAAAACAGTGAAATATGGAGCTCAACTGAAATCAAAAGTGGAATTCAACCGATATTAAGGTTAAGTTTTGATCACTTACCATCACCGTATTTGAAACACTGTTTTGCATATTGTTTTATTTATCCAAAAGATTTCAACATTCAAAAAGATAAGTCGATTCAGCTTTGGATGGCTCAAGGATATCTCCAGCCTTCTTCAGGAAGCAATTTGGAAATGAAAGATGTTGGTAATAATTATTTTAATATTTTGTTGCATAATTCTTTATTTCAAGACATTAACTTGGATGTGCACAATAATATTATCAGTTGCAAAATGCATGATCTTGTGCATGATTTGGCACTAGATGTCTCAAAGGGTAACTGTTTGGCTTTGGCTTCGACTGCTAGTGAGGCGAATTACCATCCTGAGGTTCAACATCTATCATTTACTTTAATGGGAAATGTAAGTTTTGAAATTTCGAAAGAAAATGTTGGGAAACTGAGGACACTATTTTCAGAAGTAAGTCTCCCTAAAAACATTTATGAATTCGAATGTACACGTGCCCTGAATTTGGAAAATGTGAGAGAGTTTCCAGATTCCATATGTAAGTTCATACAATTGCAAACACTGAGAGTTCCTTTTATCTTAAAAAAGCTTCCAGAAAAGTTCTATGAGTTGGTTAGATTGAGACATTTTTGTTTTCATGAGACAATAATGAACAGGGAATTGATGCCTATGACGATAGGGAAGTTGACTTCTTTGCAGACATTACCATTCTTTGTTGTGGGTGAGGATAAGGGCCATAAAATTGAAGAGCTGGGTAGCTTAAGGAAACTAAGAGGTGAATTAATGATTTACAATCTCAAACAAGTGAAAGGCAAGAAAGATGCAGAAAAGGCAAATATATCAAGAAAGCTGAACATTCATGAGTTGGGATTTCATTAGGTTAAGATCGACAGTCCTTCAACTGCAGAAGACACTACTAGCATTAACCACAAGGATGTGTTGGAAGGACTTAAACCTCACGGGAACCTTAGGGGTTTAAAACTCCAGAATTTTGAAGGAAAAAGTTTTGCATCATGGATGATGAGTAGTAGAGATGCGCAGTTGCTTCAAAATTTGGTTAAGATAGAATTATCCAAGTGCACGAGATGTGAACAAGTCCCACCACTTGGACACCTTCCGCATCTTGAGGTTATCAGAATGTCTGGATTAAGTAATTTGAAATGTATTGGTCCTGAATTCTATGGTTGTCACAGTGTTGTCAATCATCATCAATGTAATGATGGCATCATCACTGGTAGCTATAGTGGGGCAATAACAACAGCAACCGAAAAAGCTATGGCTATTGTATTTCCAGCACTAAGAGAACTTCATCTAAAAGATATGCCGAACATAGAAGAATGGTGTGTGCTTGGGGTATCATCATTGTCATCAGACACCACGATGTTCTTTCCTCTGCTTGAGTTTGTACACATTAGTGGTTGCACTGAGTTGACTATAATTCCAGGTGACTTGTTATCCTTACAGGAATTGATTTGCAACGACAAATTGGATACGCGCCACCCTTACTTGAGAATAGAGGTATCTAGGGGTTCGAGAATAGAGGTATCTAGGGGTTGGAAATGGAAGATTGGTGTTTTACTGGTAGATTTGCTGGAAAAAAGCTGCAAAACCCTAAGAAAGCTGACAATAAGTTCTTTGGAAGAGTTATTTTATTTGGCAAATAACTTACAAAACCTTATGTCTCTTGAAGTCTTAATGATATAAGCCCCAAATCAAAAGTCTATAATTAAAGAAACTGAAGAAGAAGAAGAAGAAAAAGAAGAAGAAGAAGAAGCGTCCAATTGCAGCGGCTTCAGATTTCATGGTGTAAAAATTTGACATGTTTACCAAAGGGGTTGTTACAACAAACCCTTAATGTTAAAGATACTCTGTTGTCCGAATTTAATAATTACTGATCCAGATGAATTATGCAGTCTCCCATCCCTTCAAAAATTGACAATTGAAGGATGTCCAAGATTGGCGGGTTATTGGGAGGAGAGGCTAATTTGCATGACCAGCCTGCAAACATTGACGATAGGTAAATTCTCAGAAGAGCTCGAATATTTCCCCTAGCCTTCCACCACCGTAAGTGCTGCATCTGCTACTGTTACTGTAGAGGAGGAGGTTGATGATGATGATACCAAATATCACCTAAACCCCAAACACTACCCCTTCATCTTCTTGGTGTCTTTGACACTATTTGGCTGGGAAAGGCCCAAGTATCTGCCTGATCAACTTCAGCACCTCACTACCTTTAGAGACTTTTCACTTCAACATTTTTGTGGACTGGAAGCTCTGCCGGAGTGGCTGGCTAACCTTTCATCTCTTCATTCTTTGGAGCTTTTTGATTGCAAGAATCTGATGTATCTTCCCACCATGGAAGCAATGTAACACCTCACCAATTTACAATCTTTGAAAATATATAGTTGTCCCCTTTTAAAGGAAAGATACGCAAGGGAAGGCGGCCAAGAATGGCACAAGATTGCCCATATTCCATCCATCAACATCGAGTAGATTTAAAGGTAACTTATGTATTTCTTTAATTGTTATCCATATTCATAATTTCTTCTCTTCTCTTCTCATCTCACCCCCATCCCATCCCCCACCTTCCCAATGTTGTTGGCTCATTTCCCTTTATCTTACTACCCCTTTTTGGGTTTTAGGTCACGAGACATTTCTTGAATGATGAATCTTCTTCTTCAGGATGAAGCATGAAATTGTCTACTGCCAATTATGTAATTTCTCTCTCTCTCTCTCTCTCTCTCTCCCCCTCCCTCTCTCTCGCTCTCTAAAGTCCATCAGTTTTAATCTAGCTTTTTTATATGTATTATTATACATTTTTATCTGGTCTCCAGTTTGCGCTTTGCCAAATCATGAGTATGTAATAGTTTATAAATTTTTTTTCTTTGAAACTTATATATATATATATATATATATATTTCTAGGTTTATCAATCTCTTTACAAATTACTATGTTATAGGGTCTCTTCTACAAGGAGGAGTTCCAGTTTTTCTTCAAGTGTAAATGCTAGATTTATTGCCTGCCAGCAGTACAGTCAATAAGTGCAGTCCATTAATAATCAATGTAGGGAGAAGAGGTAATCGTTGGTGCACATGATTTTGAAGAATCAGAGCAATGTTATGCAAACTTTGTGGGTTGTTCCTTGACTGTTATTAGTCATTTGAGTTACTTTTGTAATTTTCAAGCTTAATAGTTCCACTTGTCAGTTGCAGATTCTCGTCAAGTGAAAAACTAAATAATTTCAATGATCAACTGGTCTTCAAAATGCTTTCCTGCTTAGCTTTGAGTGAGCTTTGAGTCAAACTTTGATTTTCTATAACTAACAACAAAACAACTAGTAAGGCATGCGATGCATTGCCTCCATCTTCATGATGCAAATGTTGGTTTTATGTTGTTATTAACAAAGACATATGAATTGAATGAGCTAATTTTCAGAAAATGGGATGTGAAAAATGACTTCCTATTTATATTTTAGTCAACTTTGTTATTAGAACATGGGAATTATGATGTTATCTGCAATCAATTCAAAAGGCCAATTTTTAGTGTTAATCAAAATTTAATTTATGGATTTTGTATACATCCTAAAAAAACATATATAGGTTTGTTAGAATATTCTTGAATTTTGAGAACTTTGTATCTATCCTAAAAAATCATCCATGGGATTTGATGAAATGACATGTTTCCATTTTGAACCAACACTTCTGTGATGTTCCAATTTCAAATAATCTCATTTTAGCTTATGAAGGTAAATGATCTAAAATTCACAATGAGATGGTACCCCAACTGTGGGTTCCTAGGAGCATTGCTTTTAACTGAGCTATGTACAATTGAGCCACAAAAAGTTACATATAGGTTTAGATAACATGTCCTTAAACATGGGTTTTCCATGCTATTTTGTATATCACTAATTCTAAAAGCCAGAGTGCTTGATGCAACCTACAGTATGCAAAAGTCACTTGAGTTGAGTTGACATTTCCAATTATAACACTTTGGTCAGTCATATTGATTTGTTGCATGTGAAGTAGAGGTAGTTTGAGCAGGAGCCAAATAATCTAAGATGAAGTTGCAACAACAGTCCACTTGGATGATTGAATCATGTGTGTAGTTCTTGTATGGAGTTCAGATCGTATGATTCAATTTTAATTTATCTGTTAATGCCTGCCTTTTTCTACGAATTGGCTATATATGTTAGTTTCTTCAATATGTGATCTGTTACCTAGAGCATCTAACAAATTACATATAGCATTTTGTTGCCTTTTCTTCTTTTTTTCTCTTCTCCAAATCAAGTTCGGTTCATGTACAACTTAAATAACCCTATCAAGTCATCTCTAACTCATCTGGAAACGTGTATTCATGTACAGATTATTTTGCATGTGAAGTCAAAGAATAATTTTGTCTAGTTTAGGGTCACAAAGATCAAGTGCAGCCAAAAATTTGCAGGTGGTATTCTCCTCTCTCTCTCTCTCTCTCTCTGTTAGACACACACATACACGCTTGCTCCCACACACATTTGATCTTTTTATCTCCTTTTGACAAAAAGCAGGCTGATAACCTAGTGTTCATGTGATACCCCTGTTCTGTATTATGCTAAATTGGTCCTTAATTTGTTTATGGTTATGTGTTTAGCATGATTTTGTGTGCCATTATGTGATAATATGTGATTTTGAATTCTTATCTATTCACCGTAGGAACATCTGTTTGAATAATCTGTTTTGGAAATTAAATTGAGGGCCTTATCGACCACAGAACCCGAAATTGATTACGCCACTGTGATTGGCATAATTTTTAGAGCCTACGGTGAAATTTAATTGAAAATTTATCCTGGTCAATTTAGACTGATTAAATTGATAAATTAAGTGCCCAATTGTTTTATAATAAAATAATGTTGAGTGGGTGCTTATTAAGGGTCAACTACACCCTGATTTCTCTCCTTAAGCTTCATTTGGCTGATGAAAAACTCTTAGACTTGAGAGAGGATCGGCTAAGAGAGAGAGAGTGAAGGAAATTGAGATTTTGGTCCTAAAGCTTGGTGATCTTGGAGGCTAGCTCGAGAATTTACCTTAAATTGTGAGAATTAAGCTTCTAGGTAAGCCATTGACTCTTGAATTCATGAATTGAACGTGAAATCTTGTGAGTTCAAGTATCTTTTTGCGATTAAGGGTATGATTTAAATTAGTCTTGATGAGATATGACCATGCATGCATAAAAATTCTGTTGAATTGCCATAAGTTGCATAATCTGGCATGTACCATGTCAATTAAGCAAAAATTGAAGTTGATCATGCATGCAAGCTTGGTTTTGTTGAGTTTTGGCACCATTTGCATCTTTGAAATGGAAATGAAGTCAAGATGGCCTTGCATGTTCGAATAATTAAAGATATGAGCTTGAATGCAAGAATTTGTTATATGGGTGATGAGTTTGTCATGTTTTGGGACATGCATGTAGGTAAATCAAGAAATTGAACTTCATAATGCTATAATCTTGCAAAGGAACCATGTTAGTATGATTATATTTGAGATTTGAGCCTTTGCATGCAAGAATGGTAGCTGGGAAATTGAATTGGAGCTCAAGAACTTAATCTGGAAAACCTAGATTTTTTATGTCCGCTCGAGCGAGGGAAGGGCCGCTCGAGCGGGAAAATCGTGCTCCCAGCACTTTTTGCAGAGTTGGATTTCCGCTCGAGCGGGACATCTCACGCTCGAGCGGGGAGCTTTTATAGACAGGCCTTCCACTCGAGCTCTCTATCCCACGCTCGAGCGTATTTTTCATGCAACCAGTACTTTTGCAGGCCTTAAGGGTCTGCTCGAGCGGATAAGTTGACGCTCGAGCGGGGACCGTGTTCTCTGAAATTTTGTATGCTCGTTCTGTGTTTTGTTTTCCATTCTCTTTCACTTGTAAGCACTCTTAGGCATATGGTAAGCATTGTAAATGAGCTAATGAAATGTGAATTAAGCCTAAAGAGAGATATGTGAATTAAAGAACGGATTGAACTGTTAGTGACCCTTTTGTGCTCATGAAATGTGTAGGGTCAAGTTTCAAGGCAAATCCACAAGCCGATCACTGTGAGTAATATCAATATTTAAAAGCTTGTGAATGTCTACTTGTTATTCCCTTATAAGCCTTATGAATTTGCTAATTGGGATCGTGGACAAAAGCCTGATACGAATGAATAATTGGACCAGAGGTCGTTTTGATAGAGATAATGGGCCAAAGGCCGTTTTGATATAAATGAATGGGCCAAAGGCCGTTTTGACATAAATGAGTGGGCCGAAGGCCATTTTGACAAGAATGAGTGGGCCGAAGGCCGTTTTGACAAGAATGAATGGGCCGAAGGCCGTTTTGACATGAATGAGTGGGCCGAAGGCCGTTTTGACACAGATGAATGGGCCAAAGGCCGTTTTGATATAAATGAATGGGCCGAAGGCCGTTTTGACAAGAATAAATGGGCCGAAGGCTGTTTTGACAAGGATGAATGGGCCGAAGGCCGTTTTGACATAAATAAATGGGCCGAAGGCCGTTTTGATGTAGATGGAAATCAGAATGGGCCAAAGGCCAATATGTTTAGAACTACAGTCACTTGATCTAACCTTTGTATAAATGTACATATGTTAAGTAGGAATATGAATTGGGCCCAAGGCCGTTTGGAGTATATTGTTCTGCATATTGTTTATATGACTTCTGTATTTGATATTATTCACTGGGCTATCGCTCACGCTCATTCATGTGTTTGTAGGTGAGCCAAGGGAAGGCCAAACCCAGCCCCAGTGAAGTCTGCTAGGGAAAAATACAAGTTTTGAGGAAGTCAGCCTTACGTCTCACTCTTGAGACCTATCCTTGCCTTTTTGCTATGTAATTATATTTTGTCTTACCGGCAAGGACTTTATGTATATCTATAAATAGTCTGTCATGGGTTGACTTAATTAGATGATCCTGTTTGTAAGGAATTTTATGGTACTGTACTTTTGACATGGGTTATTAACGTATATGAGTTTGGTTTGTTTTGAAGTGCATATAAGCACGGCTCTATGGACAAAGTTATTGATTATTGCTTCCGTTTGGCCCCTCTACTCTGTTGACTTATGTCTATTCTGGTTTGAGGCCGTAGGTAATCTTAGGATTACTGGCCGGTTACGTCCTTAACCCATGGGGGCGGGTTCGGGTCGTGACAGTTCATAACTGCATCTCATCCAAATTACAAGAAATCAGGTAAAGAGAAATATTAAAAGCTGAAAATTCCATTACAATATAGACAAGAGATTTAGTGTTTGTTTCTAAGGTAAAGTTTCCTCTCCCCCCCCCCTCCCTTCCCCCACACAAATTCAGTCTGTTTCGGAATCTAATAATTGTGTTACCAAATATTCTTATCTTCATTTTAATTGCGAGCCAACAAAACATTTGAAAATTGATGCCTTCAATTTTGAAATCTATGGAGCTTAGTCTTGGGTGTTTAGTTTAAAGTGCTTGGTCTAGCCTACTTCACACAAGAAGCATCGAAGTTTGTACACATTTGAGAAATCAGTTTGTCTCTTTAGCAAGTGTCTCAGAGTTTGCCTTACACTTAAGCAAGCCATAGCCATTGCCCTTTTAACATCTGATATCTTATATTAAAAATCAGAGATTATTGAATACTTTGTTATATTGTTTTTGTTGTATTTTTTTTCCTCCACTTTTTTTAGTACAAGAAAACTAAATTAGGCTGAATCATATTTCTTTTGTAGGTCCGCAATAAGTTGACTATCAATTTCCATTCTACAAAGCATTTCTAATCAGTTTCACTAACCATCTAGGAGGACAAAGCAGGCAAGACAAACTCTGAAAGCCAGATACGATATTGCAGATTGCATTTTCTTTTCATTTGATCTGGTAGATAAGCTTGCTAGAAACCCGTCCTAGGTAGGGAATCCTTGCACAACCTCGCTTGCTGGCTGTACATAATCTTTGAATTTGGACAATGACAGTAAGTATATATTGTAGTGAATATGCTCTGACAATTTTTCTTTTTTAATATATCGGAGCTAAAGGCATATTTTTCTGATCAAATTAATGTTCCAGGCTCTAGCTATGGCCATCAACAGAAGCAAACTCATCACTCAAAGACTAGTTTCTCTTTAATCTATTGCTGGATTTTACTTGTTCTACATTTCTAATATTTATATTACGTGTGCAAGTCATCCTCAGGTGTAGGGCTCTTGATTGTATTGTGAATTCCATTCTGGGTTCTTTGGCAACTTGTAATTTATTAAACAGAAGTCTATAGAAAAGGACTAGTGCATTTGCTTTCTATCATCAAATTTAGGTTAATTTGATCTTTTGGTTCTGTATGCTTTGTTGGTTGCTAAACCACAGCACAACTTGAGAGAGATTAATATAAATATTCATTTGATCATGTGTGTTTTCAGTCTTGTACCTTGTTGCATGGTTAATGAAAAACAGACACACTACACTTCAATCATATAATGGTTGTTAAAACCAATAGGCTTTGTTTGGAGGATTACTGAGAAATGTAAATGTATGAGCTTTGTTGGTAACTAGCAAATGTAATTATTTCCCCAAAACTGATCAAGAAGAACCCCGTTCAAATCACCTAAATAAAGACTACTGAGACTTGCATGCTGGTAATGGTATGATATGCTAATCTTCGACAACGTTTTCAATCCTCTGAATAAATAGTACTGCAAGCTCATTCCTTTAAGTCTATAGTCCATGTTCCGTGCACAGAGATTAGAATCAAGTGCTTTGTTATTCAATCTGGATTTGATGGTTTCTTCTTATATTCTTTATTTTTCCTCTATTTTTGTGTAAGATTTCATATGTTAGAGGTCCTGTTTGTTTTATCAAAAAATTTTACCACTTGTATGAAGTGGCCCTCACCTCAGGATTGTAAAATTTTTAGTAATATGTGCAGGACCTCCTGATTGTAGCAATGTTAGGCAATCTTTTTAATTTTATTTTTAAAAAAAAAAAATTGATTTTGACATCCATATTATCAAATTACATAACCAAATTGAAATCATAGTGGTTAAGTGCTAATGCATCATCTTAAGAGAGGGGTGGTCCTTCACTAGTTACTACATAATTACAAATGTATATGCATAAATCTTTTAATAGATAGAATAGTGCAAAGGGTGGCCTCTCCTACATTATAATCGATAAGATTTTCCTTGGTCATTTTGATTTTGAATGTGAAAAAAAATAATTAGCAAATGTCTTAATGTAACAAATATTATTATATTGAAAGGAAAATCTTATGATGTTCAATTCAATTTTACAATCTCATCTGTGAGTCCTCCCAACAATATATCACATAATATTTCGATTTTAACAACCTTACCACGAAAAAATTATGTGGTGGTCTTGGAGTAAGTTCCCATCTTGATGTTTATTGGTTGAAGTTGTGAAATTTCATTAAGATTTTGGGAGATAAATTGATAAATGTCAAATGACAAATAGTGTGGAGTAATATTCCTAGACCACCAAGTAATTTCTTGCGTTAATTATACAAAAACTTCTTCAACTATTCATAAATATCACTTTGATCCCCTCATTTATAAATCTATATATATTGACCCCTTTAATTATAAAAATCATACAAATAGATCTGTTTTGAAGATGGTCTGAGATGATGAAAGTAATATATTTTTATAATTGAAGGAATCAAAATGCATAAATTTATAAATGAAGGGTCAAAATGATATTTAATTGGAGAGTTTTGTGTAATTTAAGTATTAACATCTCTTCATAGCTCTGTGGTATCAGAAAAATGTTTGAGAAAACCACTCTAATAAAATATTTGACAAGTGTCAAATTTTAATTTGTCAAACATTCCATTACCACAGGGCGGGACATTTGCTGCCCAAAACTCAGATCATGCCAAGCTTGAAGCTTTTTCCATTACCTTCCCGTTGTCCCTCCTACTCTAAGCGCTCTCTCTCTCTATTTCCAGATTCTTTCACTGCTGGAAATTAGGTTTTTAGTGGCGTTTAAAAAACACCGCTATAGCTATCAAAAACGCCGCTAATTGTTTTCGTGACGTTTAATACCAAACGTTGAAGATGCGGCCGTCGCTATAACTTTATGACGCTTTAAAAGCGTCGCTAAAAAAATGCCGCTAAATATGCTGCATAACGGTACAATGACGTCACGCAATATTTAGCGATGTTTTGAAAACGTCGTGGTAGATCTTTTTTATTTTAAAAATATAACCATTGACATCATCTATAGTGACGTTTGAAAACGCCGTCATAGCTTCCATTTTTTTTTTTTTTAAATTGTGCTAATTCTGTGAAATTTAACTAAAACAAATTACCTATAATAAAGATGAAAAATATTCAATATATTAACTAAATTTAGGTAAACATAATACTAGATCAATTCATGCTTCTCAATATACAAAAATATTTCAATTCCAAGATGAAATAAAGTTAAACTAATGCCTAGTGATGAGTTGAAAGTTATTACAAAACAAATCAACACAAACAAATGGGGCGGAAAAAGATCAATCATGTACCCTTTACAGCTCGGCACAAAACAGATTGGCACAAAAAAAATCAAGATATTTAAATTGCATGGATGAATGTCTAGCATAAAAAGAAGGGGGGGAGGAAATCAACCGTATGCTATACAACACAATTGCAAGACCAATCATGTACTCTTTACAGCACTGGGAAGCAAGTTGAAGGCTTCATCCTCTTCTTCCAACTTCTTTTCCTGTTGACAAAAAAAAAATCCCAGGATTTAGTAAGAACTAATGGTGATAAAACAGTATCCAAATTCACATGTTTTGAGTTGCTATGCTGCCTTGACAAATTCACACTGCAGCTATGATGTGGTCAAATAGCTATACCTCTGGATGATTTGTTATGACATCAATTGGTCCAACAGTTTAAAGTATAGAAATACTGAAGCCCAAATTCCAGCAAAATTATAGTTTGCTTTTGAATTTGAGCCCTATCAAATTCTCGTCATATCAATACAGCCAGTGCCTAGCCTTAACACTGAACAGATTTTAGGTAGGCATGCCAAACCAGCCATTTAACTAACTTATCTCAAAAGAAGAAAAATAGACATTCAAAGACTTTAATATATATATATATATATATATATATCTAGAACTTATTACTTGTGTTAATTTTCAGTTCAATGAGTTAAAGAGGCAACCTGAATCAAAACATATTATGTTCAAAAGTGAGTAGAAGATTACTTGAATGCAGCCCATCCAAAAAAAAGGTCAAACTACATGCTTACTTTAGGCAGTTCTGCAGGTATAAAATAGTATTGCCAGCTAAACATAAATTCAATCCCACAATAGATACTGCTACTGCCATTCACATAAATCTAGTACATCACAAAAGTGACCAAAATGGCAATTCGGCTTCATTGTTCAAGGCCTACACAAAATGCATTTACACCCAAAAGGTTGAAATAATGAACTAGCATAAATGACCTTACCTTTTCGTCAGCAGAGTACTAAGTGCATTTGAAATAAAACCTGAATATTTGGATCCCCAAGTATGTCTGCAAATAGTTTTAACATTTCAGTCAGTTCACTGAACAATAGTAATACATATATCATAATCAAAGTCTGAAAAGGATGTATTTTACCGATCATAGAAACAAGGATAAATAGAGTGAAGATAACAATATTATAACCATAACAAGGGTATCCATCTTTCAAACAGCATAATGTTGAAATTTCATCCAATGTCACCTCATGCTGTTACATAGAATATGTTCAGTCAGGACATCATTTCATCAGGTTAATCCCTATGTGAAAGTAGAAAAGATAAGGTAGATGGTAAAAATCTGGCATCTAGAACAGTAGTAGACCTGCCTGACTCTATTGGGTATGAGTTGGGGTTAATCGAGGTTGGGGATTAATAAAACTAATCTGGTCAAGGTCGGAAATAGGGCATCCCTTCCCTGAACCCCCAGATTTTTTATATATTGATTATCAACATACCCCCTTAATATATGTTTATTATGTTCACTGCGTATTAGTTATTTGACTAAGCAAGTACCCTCATGGACTTCACTTCATCCAAGGGCAACAAGGATGTCCATCTCTCTTTTTGAATCTAAGGTTCTATTCTCCAAGGATTTCATTGCATCTCCCATCTCTTCAGTTTCTCTTTTTTGTTTTTCCTTATCTGCTTCCTGATAGAGAGCAATGTACAAATTATATAAGAAGCCAAAATCAATTCACGATTGCAACAAAATAAGGAGATCTAAAGATGAAATAGAAAGTTGTATATGGCATGCTAACTTAATACCTCATCCTTTGCACGCCAAGGTTCGAAATTCCGTGATGCACCCAACTCAACAACATAGTCTGAATTTTGCGGGTCGGTCTTTGTTGTTAACTCAGCAGAGTAATTAGTGCATTTGAAATAAAACCTGAATATTTGGATCCCCAAGTATGTCTGCAAATAGTTTTAACATTTCAGTCAGTTCACTGAACAATAGTAATACATATATCATAATCAAAGTCTGAAAAGGATGTATTTTACCGATCATAGAAACAAGGATAAATAGTGTGAAGATAACAATGTTATAACCATAACAAGGGTATCCATCTTTCAAACAGCATAATGTTGAAATTTCATCCAATGTCACCTCATGCTTTTACATAGAATATGTTCAGTCAGGACATCATTTCATCAGGTTAATCCCTATGTGAAAGTAGAAAAGATAAGGTAGATGGTAAAAATCTTGCATCTAGAACAGTAGTAGATTTGTAGTGACAGTACTGGGGGTACATTGAATCCACATAAAAATATGGTTGCTCTACTTAGAAAGTATCTCTAGATTTATGATCAATAGTTGCCTTCTTACACAACTTGTGTTAATCCTCTAACCTCAATTGGAGACATCTACCATATGTCACTAGTTAGAAAATAATAGGTGACCCACAGAAACAGGGGAAGAATAATAACTTCTAATAAAGACAAAGCAGAGGGAGATCCTGAATTTTTGTGCAAAAAAACTTATAAATATTATCCCTGTGATAAATTTCCTAAATTTATCACAGGGATGAACTATGACAATGTTTAACTCAAGGAAATTGAAAAGGAAAAAAAATACTAGATTATTGATTTCATTAGCAAAAGAGAGGCTTGAGTAATTGAGCGAGTCATCACTACACATGTCCCAAACTTACTGTAAATGTATGTTGTTGTTTGGCAGCACCATAGCTTTCCTTAACAACTCTCCCAGCAATAGTTCTCTTTCCAAACCTGCTTGGATATAAACCTGTTCGGAATTAGCTCCTTCATTTATCGAGCAAATATGATTTACAAACTACGGTGGAAATCAAGAGATTCATATACAGAAGGAAAACAAGAGCTGAAACCAGTTAGTTACTTCTTGTATACTTTCTGTGTAAACAAAACAACATCTCCTTTGCAGACATCACCTAAAAAGAGAATCAAAGAAGCTTTAAATTTTCAAAACCACCTTGAAGTGAACAAAAATAGTGCACTCAAAAGAAATGTATGTAAGTAAACCTTTACCGGTACAATTGATGGCAAAGGATGATCTAGGATAGAGTGTTTCAGCATTTCCATCTTTTATCCTGAGGGTTAAAAATCATACAATAAGGATACTCTTATGCAAAAATAGTATAAAGCTACAAAAGATATTAATACCCTTGTAGAAGCCAAAATAAATCATCAAGGCATGAATGATTTCAAACTTTCTTAAGCTAGAATAATTTAATAATAAAACAAAAAAGTGATCTAAAACTCAAGATATGCACTTGTAGAAAATGACAATATTATTTGAGAAACAAGACATTTAATAAAAGATTAGATACTAAGCACGACACAACAAAGAGAGTAGGGGTAATATGTATACATCCACTCACTTATAGATCAATGTATTGTGCTAGTCTAAAACAATACAGTCTACACCATTCAAGTTTTTTCAGTGTCACTTATAGATCCACTCACTTCTCTCAAATTATTTCCCAGCAAAATACACATTAAGCTCTCCTTGCTATTTTTTTGCTTCTTCAGAATCTTTGCTAATTGAATCCGAGTGTGAAATGATATACATAAAACTATGACAAACTCTAGTTCTATCAAGCCTTATGAACAAAGTTTCCTTATATATGCCTAAAACACAAAATTATGAAACACCAAACATAAGCAAAATTAAAGCAATTATAGCAAATATTCTCTGCTTCCCTCTGCTTTATTTGATCACTTTTCTCTGGCTTGTTTTAAAGGTCCAATTATAGTGTTGTAGTGACAGATGTCTAAGCAGTAAATCAAAGAACACTTAAAATTTGATTTCCTAGATTTGTGAAATTCTCCACTGGATTGTATCACAAGTTTAATATGCTTAAACATCAAAATGAATGCTACCAAACTCGATAGCAAGGTGTAAGAATTTAAAGTTAAGTATAAATGGTATAATTTCTCCCGCGGTGAATGGGTTGATTTTAAAAAAGGAGAAGGTCAGGGAGATTTAATCTTCTAGGAAGGACAAGAAATTAACAGACTTCAATGTGCAATTAATTATGATGGTCATGTGCACATATGAAAAAAAGGAATTGTCCGTGACCACAAAACAAAAAAGGGAAGAATGTACGATTATCCAAAAGTACTCTGACCAAAAATGCTTGGCATGCCTCCAAAACCACTTGTACCAGCTACATTAAGGCACCAAAGAAAAAGGGGGGCAGGAGGAAATCAGCCATAAAAATATTGAAGATTTACAGAAAATGTAGTTAAAGACTAAATACACCAAGTACCTGCTTGTGTTTGACCAAAGTTGCCAAACCCAAAAGAACCTGTTATCTGAGCAGGTTGAACAGAGTGGAAAGGTGTTGAAAGTGAGGGCTGAAGAAGAGAAGAAATTAAATCCATATCGACAAAAGAACATAAAGGTCTCAAAAACTAAAACACAAAGAAATCAGATTCTTAAGAACAAACAACAATGAGATGCCTATAAATTATAATGTAACAATATCAGACATGTTCAGGCAAGTGTCACTCTACAGCTTCATGTAAGAAGTTTCCTTTGCATGGAGATTAATAATTTTCATCTATGAAGTACACGGTACAATTTCTAAGAAATTTTTAAATGAAAATCAATGAAGATGGAAAGCCATTTTTCCCACATGGTGCATATTGGCATATATGGAGTGCAAAAATATGCGCTAAAACATTTTATAGATACTGTACTTAGACACTACATTAGTTGGAAATACCAACATGTCCACATATCAAAACTTATCAATTTTCTGAATCCAGTACATCATACATCATGCCCATGCAAGCAACCTAGGTTCCAACTATTACCCCTAAAATATCAACTACTTAAACATTGCCACACAGAGAAACTTAATTATGAGTTTTAAGAGTGACTTACAGTTGTTTGACCAAATCCTATAGGATTGCTTGTAGATAGCAGTCATGGAGTGTTTGAGAACAAGTTGCCAAACAAATATGAGTGCAATTTTTACAGCTTGCAGTTGAGAGATCAAGTCTCAAAACTTCATTCTCAAATTTACCATCAGAAAACCATAAGGAGATCTTTTTCTATTATCTAGAGGGGTTAATTATATGGAAAATCTAAAATCAGTTATCTGGATGCCGCTGTAAAATATTCTCACAAGCATATGGATTTTAAATAAGTCATGGACAAGGCAGAGAATAAGTCATGGACAAGGCAGAGAATATGGATTTTTACATTTAATTTTTCCCTTTTCCAATTTGCATTTATGTTAAAATGTTCACATAGATGGTTCAGGGAATATGAAGTAAATATAGAAAAACATAGAACCAAAGGCTGGATATTCACTTTAGAGACTTGAGTTGAAATCAATCAGAAAATCTGTCCATTGTTTTTTTTTTCTGTTTTTCTTAGCAAGAAACTAGATCTTATCATAAAAAATGGACATCATAAAAAAACAAAGAAGACATACCCCTAAGACAGAATTACGTGAAATTGGTCTTCAAAATGTCATAGATTACCCAAAAGGAACTAGCTAGAAAACTCACAGCCCAGACTCATATGACTAAGATTTTCAGCAGAATATTCAATCAACAAGTTGTTCTTTCTCTAAGTCCCCAAAGTTGACTTTATTCCAGGAAAATCAATTCACTGTGATGGAAGCATACCTTCTCACATCAAGAGCAACAAACAGAATAAGCCGTTCTGAAAGAAGCTGTGCAATGATCCGAAAGAAACACAGCATAACTACTCTTAGACAAAACATGATAAACATACATCCATACATAAACTGCTATCTTTTTTTTCCTTTTTTTCCTTTTTTTGGGGGGAGGGGGGTAAGAGTCCATAAATAAACTACATTAATAATAGATCCACCATAACAAATGATTTGAGGGGCACTTACCAATCAGTCCTATTAAAAGAAAGGGACTCGTTCGACAAAATTTTCTGCATGATCAAAAGATCCTCTCTAAAACTGCATCATCCAAAAGGGATGGTCAAATGGTCTTAAATTTTGAGCAAGAAACGAGGTCACAATAGCACCTGAGAATATACATTTTAAGTATCATGTAATGTAATGACCTTGTTTGTTATTCACATTAAATTAATACAAATATAAATTGATGAATGGAAGTTTAACGGCAATTCAGCAGTTTGTCATATGTAGCAAAAGACTATCAGCTATTTTCAAAATGACGTATGCATCTTTGAAATGTAAATCGATCAAGAAAATGAAGGAAATTGAAATAATTACAAAGCAAATACTCACAATTTCTCCGTGTAGGTCAAATTTCCTAGAATAGGAGGGATAGGTCCACTCAAGATGTTGCAGCTTCAATCTCTGGATCAAAATCAAGATAACGACACAGTTATAAGACAAACCAAACATTGAACGCTGGGTCTGTTGAGTTAGTAGTAAAACCCCATAAAGGTCCCCTCAAATAAATTCAATTTTGTGAAAAATACCAGATTGAGGAAACAACAAAATTAAAGCACTTACAACACAGCAAGTGCCTGCATCAAGCCTGTAACGCCCTCAAAATAATAACATTAAACCCATCAAATAAGACATTCATTGACAAATGAAATAACCACATTCTTCTAGTCATCAGAGTTTCATTACAAAAGTATTACATGTTAATAACAAAAGCAAAAATGCCCTACGGGCTTACAGCTTTCCAAGTTAACACTTGGTTACAACAAAAGAGTGCTAACTCATCTACACATTAAGCCCTCGGCTTGAATATACATGTAATACATCAAAAAGGAACTAAAACCACAACAATCTGCTCGCCTCTAGCCTCCCAAGCTATGACCTTGGAGGTGGCATGCTACCTGTACCTGAAAATGATATTCCCATATAGGGTGAGCCACAGCCCAGTAGAAATACACTAAACCAACCATGAACAATGACTAAAAGATTAGCAATTGATAGATGGCCAACACTAATACATCCACATAAATCACAATTTTATGTCCTCCGACTTATGAGTCCAAGTTACTTTTCATTTTCCCTTTTTCAACAGATATGCATATTAGCTCTATCATCATCTCAACAGATATGTATAACAACAATATCCCACATTCACAGATAAGCATATAAGCTGTATCCACACTCCCAACAGATATGTATAACAACAATATCCCACATTCACAGATAAGCATATAAGCTGTATCCACACTCCCAACAGATATGTATAACAACAATATCCCACATTCACAGATAAGCATATAAGCTATATCCACATTCCCAACAGATATGTATAACAACAATATCCCACATTCACAGATAAGCATATAAGCTATATCCACATTCCCAACAGATATGTATAACAACAATATCCCACATTCACAGATAAGCATATAAGCTATATCCACATTCCCAACAGATATGTATAACAACAATATCCCACATTCACAGATAAGCATATAGAATATCCACATTCTCAACAGATATGTATAACGACAATATCCCACATTCACAGATAAGCATATAGAATATCCACATTCTCAACAGATATGTATAACGACAATATCCCACATTCACAGATAAGCATATAGAATATCCACATTCTCAACAGATATGTATAACGACAATATCCCACATTCACAGATAAGCATATAGAATATCCACATTCTCAACAGATATGTATAACGACAATATCCCACATTCACAGATAAGCATATAGAATATCCACATTCTCAACAGATATGTATAACGACAATATCCCACATTCACAGATAAGCATATAGAATATCCACATTCTCAACAGATATGTATAACGACAATATCCCACATTCACAGATAAGCATATAGAATATCCACATTCTCAACAGATATGTATAACGACAATATCCCACATTCACAGATAAGCATATAGAATATCCACATTCTCAACAGATATGTATAACGACAATATCCCACATTCACAGATAAGCATATAGAATATCCACATTCTCAACAGATATGTATAACGACAATATCCCACATTCACAGATAAGCATATAGAATATCCACATTCTCAACAGATATGTATAACGACAATATCCCACATTCACAGATAAGCATATAGAATATCCACATTCTCAACAGATATGTATAACGACAATATCCCACATTCACAGATAAGCATATAGAATATCCACATTCTCAACAGATATGTATAACGACAATATCCCACATTCACAGATAAGCATATAGAATATCCACATTCTCAACAGATATGTATAACGACAATATCCCACATTCACAGATAAGCATATAGAATATCCACATTCTCAACAGATCTAGTTTTGGTTTCTAAACTCAACCAACCTGTAACAAACCTGCCCAACACATCCTACAACTCAAATACGAAGTAAAAAAGGATGTAAACAAGATAATAATCAACTACCAACATCTACGGACACATGTCCGGATCACTGTACAACGAGGGTAAATCCGGGATCGCTATAAAGCCAATCACCGATTGGATTTGTCCTGAGAGTTGATTACCTTGCAAAGATCTAGCATGCAAAATAAAATTCAGAGCAATTTTTTAAGTAAATAAGTCATAAGAAATTAAATCACTGGACTTCTATACACATACAATGTAGCGCCTTGCAAGAACATGATATTAAAAGTAATCTCTCTAGTCAACTGATTGTAAGACAAGTCCTTACCAATCAAAAGAGATTAAACATTCTTGGACTAGACATAGTAGCGTTTATCCAGAATTTGGCGCAATTGCATTAGATGGTATACATACAAGACCTGGAAGGCGGTGCAGTTGCCTATGTTCTGAGGGATGCTACCAATCAAACTATTATTTCTTACATCACTGCATATTGAAGCAAAATGGTAAAATATATCACAAGATGACCCAAGATACAGAAAACACAAGGAGCAATAAGAAATAGAATGAAATGATCAATAACTTACAAGTACCACAACCCTGTCAGCTGGCACATGTCAGGAGAGAGAGTACTAACCAAATTGTTCCCTCGCAAACCTGTTTTACGTTAAGAATAAAAACATGCATAGGCACAAATTCGTAAGAATTTCGACTCACAATGTGAAAAACATAGGAAATCATAAAAATGCCAATATGGAAAAGATAACTGAGAAAATGGAAGGAGAAGTGTACTCACAGATATTGCAAAACTTCATTCTAGTATATAAGCCTAGGTATTTCCCCACTCAGTGTATTCTGTGCAAGGTCTCTGGAATACATATATTGAAACATATGCATCTCAATCATCATTCTAAAATTAGATAGAAATTAAATGAGAATAGAATGGAGAAAGAGGACTTACAAGAGTTTTAAATTTGGAATTTGGGACAAGGTTGAGGGAATTGGACCAATTAACTTATTGTTTTTCAAAATTCTGGGGAGACCCATTCCAAAGAAGGGAAGAAAAAAATTATACAAGACAGAATTAGCGCAGTAAGGGACTAAACATGAACATGAGGTTGTTTAGAGACTTACAAGTGTTCTAGTTGTTTCAACTTTGAAACTGAAAACGGTATGTCCCCATATAACTCATTGAATGATAGGTCCCTAACAATAACAGATTTCATATCAATTGGTGTATAGTAGATAAAATGGATATCACCAAAGAGTAATATAAAACTCAGTGAGCGGGAGCTTCAAATGCTGCAGACTAGTGGCAAAACTGAATTATTGTCTCCAAAAATATAAAACACTTACAAGCTTTTCAAAGAGGAGCAGTCACCAATTTCATCAGGGATCTGTCCTGAGAGGTGATTTCCTCTCATATCACTGTTCAAAAGACAGTGCAATGATAATCATTTCCAAATAAAAACCCATTAAAGTTGATGTACTGTACAAAAAGAATTTAGTACAAATACAATGACAAATAGAGAAGAAAGAAGGGGGAGATACAATACAAGTGAAGAAATTATACATAGAGAGTAGACTTTTAAGGTCGCCAATCGCAGGTGAGATTTCCCCACCAAGACTTAAACCTGAGAGATTGCTACAACGTTCGAATAACCAACCAAAAAGTCAACATTTTGAACACCATGAAGCCCAAAAAAGAAAACGCCAAGGACATCAATACCGACAAGAATAATAGTATGTGATTTCATAACCATAGTTGAATTGAACCACTATGAAAGAAAGTAAAGTCTTGTAGACTTAAAAAAAAAAAAAAAAAAAAAAAAAAAAAAAAAAAAAAAAAAAGGAAAAAGAAATGTTAGGTAATGAAGTGTTAACAAAGGGAAGGGAAACACATACAGTGCAATGACATTGAAGGCGACATTGTCACATGTTACCCCTCTCCACACACAGTAGTCTTGGATATTGGATTTTGGTCAAAACTTCCTGAGAAAGGTGTTGCAAGCTGATTACCATGCAGCGCAACTTGCTCGCAGCTGAGGCAGAAGCCTCTTGTAATTCTGGATCCATTGCTTCATAACCTTGTATCAATCGAGTATACATAGTTGGAACCTACATATTACAAAAAGCATTGCAACAATAACATTACGACAATCTTATGAATCTGGAATCAACACATTGTGGGCCATAAATGCTTCATAGTTTTTTTAAATAAAATATTACTTTGTCCCAAGTGTTCCCTTATGAGAAAAAACCAAACAGAAAAAACCAAAAAAACAAAGTCCCCAAATTAGGCCATAGGTAGTGAGAAAATTGGCAAATATAAACAACAATCACTGAACAACACAAAACATAGTATTTTAATTCATGCCATAAAATACTCGGCTTACTCCCGTAAACACAATTATAGCATCTTCCGCCTTAGT